CACACACACACACACACACACACACACAAACACAGACGCATGTACATACTCAAACACACACATGTACGCACACAAACACACACGCCTATACGCACAAACACGCGCACGCATACGCAAAAATACACAGAACGATCTCAAGAGAAGCAACATGCGAACACGTAGATGACGAAGAAGACAGTATTCCACATGGAGAACTGTTCACTGGCCTTACCTTGTGTGAGCTCATAGAACTACCGCTCCATTGTGACAGCCAGCCGGGGTCGATCGGCTGGCACAAATAATATTATCTTTTCTGATTGATCACAGCGCGTCATTATTAGTTGACGAGACATGGTGTGTGCGTGCATGCGTACGTATCCGTGCGTGCATGTGTATGTGTGTATGTATGTGCGTGATTAAGATTTGTGCCCTGCGACAGAGTATAGCGGCGTGCTTAGCACCCAGGCGGCTCTGGGAATCCTGGGGGCTTAATGTATGTATACATTCATCCGATTTATCGGGTCGGCAGATCACGTAAGCGTGATTCCGTCGAATCAGAAAATCTGAGCGGAAGTCACACATAAATGTGTCAAAAGACAGAAAAAAAACCCAGCCAGGGCAAATCATTAATCTCTGATTTAGAGTAAAAAAATGTTCATGGACTTCAGTTTTATTCTTTTTTCCTCGACCTACCATCGTTTCCCTGTGTCTATGTATTATGGCCCATACCGTAGCTACATTGTACCCAAAGTAGACGTAGAATAATATGTGAATGATAGCCGGTCCTTTGGGAGCCAACATGACGTAAATTAAATGATAATTTGAAATAAATAGACTGGCCAAACGAGTTAGAATGAAACCGTGTGACCTTGTTGCGAGGGCGGGGGAGGATACACAACTGTAAATAAAACAGTTCAGTTGAACCTGTTCGAACAGTTACCTGTATAAAACAATCACCTCTACAGACAGCCCATATCCTTCACGTTTTGGTTGGGTTTTTTAACATTGGCCCCATATAAGACTGTCACCTGTTTAAAACAATAACTTTTCTCCTCGACAATGAGTGACCAAAACGTGTGTCCGTCTTAGACAGTTTTGACTATATTCTAACCATTAACTGTAAAAACACCCAGAGAAGGTCTTTCCTACTTGAAATTAATAGAAATTATCTGGAATGCCTGCCTCCATAATGCAAATTGGGCTAAATCGGACAAATGTGGACAAACTTTAAGATCCCCGGCAGCTTTGTTCGCGCCCCGTGAACCATACTACCATAATTTGACGGCCAACGGGGAACGCACCGTCTCGTTTCGACTTCATCAAATCAGATCGCTTTTTTTTTCTTCTTGCTATGTTCTTTCTCCTCTACATTTTCTGTATTTTAAAGATCTTTTTCTGGGCTCAATTTTTTAAACGAAAAAAAGTGGAGGGGCGGAAATTTTGTTTTAAATTGTTTTAATTGGGGGTGGGGGTGGGGGAGTTGGGGAAGGGGGTTTAGGGATGGGGGTTGTTATTGTTTTTTCAGGGGTGGAGGATGGGGAAGGGTGTTGTTTGTTGTTTGTTGTTTTGGGGTTTTTTTGGGGGGGATACCATACACAAACCGAAAAGACGAGTTAGAATACCATTAAACATCTTCAGTCGACCTCAACTCAATACCAAACCTCCACAGAACAAACATCGGGTAGACCATCCCGCGGACGCTAGACTTGCCTATGAACAAGAATTAATTTTGCACATCTATCCTGGCCACGTAAGGACTAATGACGAAAAGCAGTCGCCACACTTTGAGTTCCGGGTTTGTAAATTGCAGGCTGTAAATGATAAAATCGTAAAAAAAGTAAATTGCAAATTGTCAATTGTAAATTATAAATTGAAATTATATTATGATTGGACAGAAAGAAGGAAGGAAGGAAGGAGGGAGGGAGGGAGAGGATAAAGGAAGGAAGGAAGGAAGGAAGGAAGGAAGGAAGGAAGGAAGGAATGAAGGAAGAAGGAGGAAAGGAAGGAAGGAAAGATGGACGGAAGAAGGAAGGAAAGGAACAGATCAGACCCGTTAGCACCCCCGAATACATTAAAGTTCTTGCATGTCTGGCCAAAGCTGTGAGATAATCTGATTTGCCTTAATAATCTTTATCAGGCCCTAACTTTGGCTAATCCGTTAATCCGCCAATATGGTAGTCCCGGACCAGAGGTTTGGGGTGGTAGACGCGTCCTGTGTGCTAGCCTGTGGCGGGCAGCCGGAGTGCAGACACTGGGTGTAACACTTGACGGTCTTGTGAGGGGAGGCATTGGTTGGACAGACAGACAGACAGACAGACAGACAGACAGACAGACAGACAGACAGACAGACAGACAGACAGACAGACTGAAGAAGGGTAGAGAGGCAGTGACGGGTGCAAATAGACACACCAAAAAGACGGGTGACGAAGA